AAGAATCAATTGGTGAAGGAACCTCAGACACTAGCAATCAACCTGAGGAGGAAACTCCTGTTGATCCAGCTGACGAGTCTGTACCTCCGAGGCGTTCCACACGGGTTAGGAACACACCTTCGTTTTATTATGGTTTTCATATTACTACGGAAGGTGATACGTTTATTAGTGATAGTACACTGGTAAATTTGGATGAACCTAGCAGTGTTAAGGAAGCCATGGCAGGCCCGGAGTCTGCTAAATGGAAGGAGGCTATGGACAGCGAGATACAGTCCATGTATGACAATCAAGTTTGGAACTTGGTTGACAATGTACCAGGCCGTAAAACAGTCGGGTGCAAATGGATCTTCAAGAAGAAGACAGACATGGAAGGAAAAGTGCATACTTATAAGGCTCGACTGGTTGCGAAGGGTTTTACTCAAACTCAAGGTATTGATTATGATGAAACCTTCTCGCCGGTAGCAAAGATTAAGTCTATTAGGGTTATGTTAGCCATTGCAGCATTTCATGATTATGAAATATGGCAAATGGATGTCAAAACCGCTTTCCTTAATGGAAAGTTGGCTGAGGATGTGTACATGAATCAGCCAGAGGGTTTTGTCAGTGCAGAGTACCCTAATAGAGTATGCAAGCTTGAGAAATCCATTTATGGATTAAAACAAGCATCTCGTAGCTGGAATCTTTGTTTTGATGAGAAGGTAAAAGAGTTTGGCTTCTCGAGAAGCGAAGATGAGTCTTGCGTGTATGTCAGAGCTAGTGGGAGTATAGTTAGCTTCTTGGTACTGTATGTGGATGACATACTACTCATAGGAAATGACATCCCAACCTTGCAGGAGGTTAAGTCCTGGCTTGGGAAGTGCTTTGCTATGAAGGACCTAGGGGAGGCTACCTATATCCTAGGGATAAGGATATTAAGAGAAAGGAGTAGAAGACTAATTGGACTTAGTCAGAGTATCTACTTGGATAAGGTGTTGAAAAGGTTCAACATGGAGAATTCCAAGAAAGGAGATTTACCGATCCAAAGCAATACCAAACTGAGTAAGACTCAGAGTCCGAGTACAGAGGCAGAGATAGCTGAGATGAGCCAATTACCGTATGCTTCCGCAGTTGGCTCGATCATGTATGCTATGACTTGTACCCGTCCTGATGTGGCATTTGCTTTGAGCATGGTCAGCAGGTATCAGGGGAACCCTGGCAAGGCTCATTGGACCGCGGTAAAGAACATTCTCAAGTACCTGCGGAGGACTAAGGATTGGATCCTTACCCTTGGTGGCAGTGATGACTTGAAGTATTAGGGTATAGTGATGCTGGTTTTCAGACTGATAGGGATAATTTCCGCTCTCAGTCGGGCTGGATCTTTACCTTAAATGGAGGGGCAATTTCTTGGAAGAGTTCCAAGCAGGAGACGGTGGCTGATTCGACTTGTGAATCAGAGTATATAGCAGCGAGTGAAGCAGCGAAGGAGGCGATATGGCTAAAGAACTTCATCGGAGACCTTGGAGTTGTACCAGCTATTAAGGAACCTATAGAGATTTTCTGTGACAACAATGGTGCGGTTACCTTAGCCAAGGAACCAAGAGATCATGGCAGATCCCGACACATTGACAGAAAATATCACTTCATAAGACACAAGATTGAAGAAGGACTCCTTGTGACAAGGAGGATATCGTCGGATGAGAATCCTGCAGATCCCCTTACGAAGGGACTGACGAGGGTTAAGCATTTTCAGCATGCGAGACGCATCGGGCTGAGGGACGATATTAGTTTTACAGATTAGATAGTTTTCCTGAAACTTGTAAAATGTAATCGACGTTTGATGATGAATAAAATTTGTGATTTATTTATGAGTAAAGTGTTACTATCATTGTCAATTATTTACTATTGTTTCAGTTTTGCATGTTTTGACTTCCAGAATAATTAATTTATTCAAACCTCCACAATCGATCATACGTCGGAAGTAGGTATGAATCAAGATTGTCATGAATTGGGTTTGTAGATGCCTTAAAGGTGTTTAGACATGGCAATGGTTGCTGCAACATTCATGAGTACTCATAAGTTATGAGTATTGGTATAAACCCACGCTCACTTGTATCACTTCATGGAATTTATCTCGAGTGATCGTGAGACGATAACATCATATAAATCTTTAAACCTAGAGATATGAGTTGTTACCTATGAGTTGGTTGTGCATTGATTGCACGTAAACGCATCAGTAACTTGATGTTATAAAACGTGCCTTTGTGTACAATTCAATAAGTAGTAGAACAAGCATATCAGTCGAAGTTTATCTGTTCCTTCTAGAAATAGAAGCGATATCTGGGCCCCTCGATGATTTTGTGTTGACCCATGTACCAGGCCTGGTCAGAACTAAACCGATGTGTTCAGTGAAGTTCTTCGTCAAACAAATCGGAAAATCGAGAAACAACTGCTAGACAATAAGCAAGACATAGTTCCATGTGTTTGTCCGGCTGATATCATGAGAACAGAGGATTATGTGATCACTTATCTAAAATGGCGCTTCATAGTTCGACAGAGTCTTCATAGTTCGAGGGAGTTTTCGAGAGCTACGATTGCTGGTTGGTTCCTGAAGTTATAGGCAAATACAGTTATTAGACTTATCCAAGTGGGAGTCTGTTGGATAAGGTGTCTAAGTCCATAACTTATTTGGTATATACTTGACCCGACCGGCATGGTCCATTTGGGTTGCATCTCATCCAAACTATTATGGATAATTTTATGAGAGTTATACACATATGTTTATTAATATATTATGAGTTATAATATATTAATATGAAGTTACGTTATTTAATTAGTTTTAGTCTTAAATTAATTATGAATTAATTTAGAGATTAAAAGGAAGACTAATTAGATTATGGGCTATTTGTTTTATATAGTGTGGGCTAATACTCATTTGTTAATGGGCTAGGCTTATGTGGAAGTCCATGGATGATCCATGGAGCTTTTAACCCATGGATCCTTGGAAAGGAAAAGACATGGGTTATTAGGGTTTCACCCTAACCATGCACACTATATAAGCATGCTTATGGAGCATGAAATGGAGCCTAAGAGAAAACTAGTGAACTAGTGTGTGTGTGCATGTGTGTGGCCGATTTTATACAAGGTGTATACTCTCTCAAAGTTTTCCAAGAGTTTGTGGTGTTTGTGATTCCATTTGAGGCATTCACACTATTGGTGCTTGGCCCTCAAACTCCTTAGAACCAAACTCACCGAAAGGTATGTAATCTCTTCTAACTCTTTTATGTTGAAATGTTCCCCATGCCATGTTAGATAGGTTATAAACCTTGGAAAATTATTATTTTGCATGTATTTAGACAAACATAGATCCAAGGTTTATTAGGGTTGCATGCACACTTAGGAAGTGTTAGATTGCTCAAAACCCAACACCAATATCATTGCAAAAATCTAAAATCAACTTATCGTCACATCTCTGCATCAAGCGCAATTCATAATCAAAGTAGAATCCTTCATGCCAAAAAAAATTTAGCATGGTTCCAACGGTGGATTCATGTTGGGAGTCGCCGATTTTGGAGGAGGAACAATCAAGAGAGGACAATTGAAGGGGAAGGATAGGGTTTATGTCAAAGGATCGATGATGTATATAGATGAAGGCGGTGGGGGGTACCAAATAGTAGAAGGAAAGGACACGTATAGCCAGTATACGACGGAGTAATATTATTAGGGGAATAGAAACGGTGGAGTACACCATGTTGGGTTCAGCAAGTCGGTGGAGAAAGAGAAGGACGCGTCGAAATAACAAAATAAAATAATGAAGAGTAGACCAAAAACAAAAAATAAAAAGTTCACCAATCAGAGGGAAGTATTGTTCATCTAGTACTTCTATGTGTGTGTGTGTGTGTGTGTGTATATATATAATTAGTATTTATTTTAATTATGTGTTATTTAATTTATATGTTTTTTAAAAATTATTATGACATAAATTAAAAAAAAATAAAACAAAATAGAAAAATAGAAATTACAAAAATTAAATAGAAAATGGTAGGTGTTATTACATGTTATTTGGTATTGCCCATTTCCACATTGTGTGTTATAACACCAAAAGTATAAGTAGGATGATGAGGTGGACACTTTGGGTATGATAACATGTTGTCCAAACCCAGCAGCCTTATAACCTTGGATATGTAACCTTTAGAACCATTTCTTATGTTTTCTTGGAGTCATCAATTACCAGTGTAACGATTTCACCTTCGATGGTTAATTTGTACTTCAGAAGTTAAATCCCACATCTAATTTAATTTCCATGATTACTAGAGATGCACATGTTAAGTGACACAAAAAACTTGTTTTAATAAGTATTAAAATCCCCACCAATATGATTTAATCAATAATCAAACTTAATTGTTATCATATCAAATGTTAACCATACACTAATTTAGCTTCTTTTAAAACACAAAGATATATATATATATATATATATGCTTAGGTTATTTTGTTTCTACTAACTATTGTGTGTCAGAATGCACAGATCTAGACCATTTGATGAAATATAATCAAGGGTCATGATCTGAGGGTCTATGATAGTATAATAGGATAGCATGTACCATATAATCACACAAATTTCAGTATAAGGGCATTTTAGTCAATTAACCTATATTAAAAAAAGGAAATTTTCATATTTTTAGGGATAATTAATTCCTTTATTTTTCAAAAATCTGAATATTTTAAATTAATTCAAAATTAAAAATCCGATTTTATTCTGTCAGAATGACAGAATGTCAACCATAAACTAGTAAATACATTCTAAAAGAATTTACAAAATCGATTCTTGAACTAATAATATACCAAATAATTACATTGTATGATTGTGATTCACTGAATTATAACAAACATTCTGAAAGAATAACAAATATAATTCTTAAAAAAATAACAACATTCTTAAATAATAAGTGCGATCATTCTTTAATTCATTCTTCAAGCCTTTCCCATCATGTCTTCAAGCCATTTCTATCAGAAATTTATTGTCAAGTAATTCGTAGTGATACACTTGTAACAACTGCACATTAAACATACAAATAATTAACTACAATTCTATCAGAATACAACAACAATATTCTATCAGAATACAACAACAATATTCTAACAGAATAAACTATTTTTGCAGAATGGTTTTGAATATTCTTAAAGAATTAACTACAACCATAGCCATAAACCATCATTCTTCTCTGATACTTTCAAACATATGCAATTCAACAATTATTATTATTATTATTATTATTATTATTATTATTATTATTATTATTATTATTATTATTATTGCTCCTTATAAAAAGAACATGCCAATTAAATATGTTACCTTGTTCAAAAAGGCAACGAGTAGGATCTTCACCAAAATATAATGCCAATGCATCAACATTTCTACCCTGCAACACAAAAATTGTAAAATAATATAATATTATATATATATATATATATATATATATATATATATATATATATATATATATATATATATATATATATATATATATATATATAAAGTTTAATTCAAAGGGTTGTTCTTGATTCTTACCACCACATAATATAAATTTGTTACGGACCCCACTTCCAACTCAGCAATGCTGATAAACTGATTTTGTGTCTAACAATGCAACAAAAAGAAATATTCGCATTATATTGTAGTTTTATATAAAAAAAATCGAATTAGAAGAAATTGAGTAAAATATTTGTGTATTTACTTTATGAAAAACTTCATAGACAGGGCCATCGTTTGCTGAAGCGTCTAGTTCTTGTCTGACCTTTTCAAGACCCTTAATAATGGCCTGCATTTCTTCTACTGAAGACTTCAATTGTATCTGCAAACAAGAAAAGCCTTTCATTTATCATTTTCTTTAAATAAATCTTTTATTTTTTGAGATTTTTTTTTCTTACTGGCATTTCGTCGAACATTTGGAATGCATGATACGTATCCAACATTGGTTATTAGGCAGCAAAGAATTGAAACATCTCAAATTCACGCAATTAAAAAGACTAATTACAACCGTACAAATCTTTATTCAACAACATACTTTTGATAGATCCACCTAAGCAACTTGCGAGAAAATGTAAATTTGAAACAAACAGAGTGGTCGTTATAGAAGTGTAACATCCCGAAATAGCAAGAGTTGTGTGGAAGGGCTAAAAGTGTAATTTGGGAAAGAGTGACTCGTCGAGTCCATGGATGGACTCGGCGAGTAGAGTCGCGACTTGGTCGCGTGTTAAATAGCCGACTCGGCGAGTCATGGAGATGGACTCGGCGAGTAGGCGCTGAGTGGAGAAAACCCTAATTCTCGGGGTTGATCCCTATATAAAAAGCATTATGTTTCCTCCCCAGCCTCTTTATCACCCCTTAGAGTCCTTGAAACCCTAAAATCGTGGAGAAGCACCATTGTTGAGTGGATTGGGGCTTGGAGAAGTAATTGTTGGAGAAAGTTTGGAAGTTTGAAGGTGTGGAGCAAGGGGTTTTGCTTGGATTCGAGTTTCCTTGCAATTTAGGGCACTCCTTGAAGGTAAAATCTCGTTCTTGAGCTGCTATTGTCTTGTCTCTTCATTTTGGGGTTTGGGGGGAAACTTATCTTGGGTTATTTTGGAGTCTAAAGGTTGGATCTGAGGTTGCTACCTCAGATCTGGAATGGAGGAGGGTTAGAATGCAGGAAAGTCCCTGTGTTGAGTGTTGGATGAAGCTATCTTGTCCCAAACCTTGGCCCTAATGTGCAAAATGCATAGATCTCTTTGGATTCACGTAAAGATTGCCACTTTACGTGATGGATGAGTTGTAGGAGGCTAGATCTATGTTTTGGATCAATTGCATGGTCTGGAACGCTTCTGTTTGGATTCAGACCGGTGGTACTCGGCGAGTCACATGGGTGGACTCGACGAGTTGCTTGAAGATGAGCTGAGACTCGACGAGTTGGAAGAACAACTCGGCGAGTTGGATGAAGATGGTCTGGAACTCGACGAGTTGGATGAACAACTCGGCGAGTAGGTTGAAGATAGCCTTAGACTCGGCGAGTCTGTTCTTGGACTCGGCGAGTCTTGTCGAAGAGTCCCAATATATTCTGGTCGAGTCGAAGAATCGGCAAGTCAAGGGATGACTCGGTGAGTTATGTGCGAATGGACTCAGAGTTGTTTGACTCGGCGAGTTAGGTCGCGGATTGAGTGAAGTTTTGAGTTAGGAACTCGGCGAGTCATAGGGTTGACTCGGCGAGTAGGGTCAGTCAGGGGTTGACTTTGACCCAGTCTTTGACCAAGGGTTGACCAGTGGTTTCCAGGGGTATTTTGGTAATTGTTGGTTATGGTTTTGAGTTCAGTGCATTGGTGGCTGTCCAGTGGTGGAGATTGTATCAGGGATCGGAGCAGTTCGGGTTATCTGTTCAGTCGGCAGTTTCAAGGTGAGTTATCCTCACTATATCTATAGGGTTTAAGGCACCAAGGCCGACCCTTTTTATCGGATGGAAATCCGAGTAATTGTCTGTTGTATGATATTGCGGAAATGGGCCGGAAGGCGTTATGTTATGGGCCGGAAGGCATTACATGTTGTGGGCCGGAAGGCAATACGATGTGGACCGGAAGGTCATGGCCTGGAAAGGCGTACGTGCATAATTAGTATGTTGACTGAGTCGTAGGGCGATGTTATGCTAGTGATCGGCTAGGCTGGTATCTTGGTTAGAGTAATGATATGTTATGTGATCTGTTGATCGATTTGCTAACTGTGAACTGTTATATGATTACATGTTATGTGCATGGTTGTTTTATGTTCTGTCATGATATGTATGCTTTTATGTTGCGGGCCGGAAGGCGATATGATATGGGCCGGAAGGCTATGTGTTATGGGCCGGAAGGCATTACGCTATGGGCCGGAAGGCGATATGTTTTGGACCGGAAGGTTGTGGCCTGGAAGGGCGTATATGTGGTTGGTATTTTGGGGGTATCTCACTAAGCTTTCGGGCTTACAGTTGTGGTTTTTATGTTTTCAGGTTCTCAGGAGTCTGTGGCAAGGCAAAGGCGTGATCGTACCATTCCTCGCGTTGGTGTTTTATGAAATGGACCTGAGAAAATACTCTGTTAAATAATGTATTGAAAACCTTTTTGTAACAACGTTATTAAAATGGGTTGTTTTTGAAAAGTTTTAATTGTTTCGAAATTTCGGTCGTTACAAGTTGGTATCAGAGCCTTGGTTTGAGTGAATTTTGAGGAACACTTGTGTGACTCTAGTCTCAAATCGAGGAAGGTTTTAAAAGAGAAATTAAAATGGTTTTAAAATTAAGAAAAAGGAGGATGCGGAGGTACGATCAGCCGGAGCCAGTAAGTAACCCCAAATTACCATTCATGACATTTGTTTTGTTGAGCTTTGATAGATCAGCATGCTAGAGTTAGGCTAGGGATCTTCAGGAATTCATGTTAATGTTGCCTGATTGTGATGCCTGTAGCCTAGGGTTCCTTATGGGAGATTCTCAGTGTTCCCCTAGTGGTGAGGGTTGAGCGTTGTTATGCATGTTTCTCTAGGGTGTTGTGGTAGTACTTCATACAAATATGGGTAGGTGTGGAAGGTAGTATGGGCCCGTACTACTGAAAGCACAGGACCCATACGCGTATCAAGGAAACCATGACCTCTAGGGTTGGGTTGAGAGTTGGTTCCTGGGATAGTGGGAAGAGTCTGAGGTTTTCTAGTATATTTTCAGTATGGAGATTTCGAGGCATGCTGGAAGCGGATCCGGGTCAGGATCGGGTGCAAGAGGAGGAGTTACGGACGGGTCAGTACCGCCCGAGATTATTGTTCAGATGAGCTCGTGCGAGTTGGATGCGAGGATCCGCGAGATCCTGCATGATGAGGTTGCTGCATTGTTCCGGGCTGAGTTGCCGGAGTTGTTTGGGTCGATCAAGACCGCCATGGTTGAGTATTTTGATGAGCACTATGCGGCTCTCGCGGAGACGGCTGCCGCGGCGGCTACAGTGGCTGTAGCAGCAGTAGGGGGAGGAGCTGATAGGGATTTTCAGTATCGGGACTTCGATAATACGGAGCCTCCCACCTTCGATGGAGTTTAGAACCCGATTGTTGCTATGAGATGGTTATCGGACGTGGAGGGGTGTTTCTTCATGAGTTCATGCCCTGCTGATCAGAGGGTGAGGTGTGCTCTGAACTTGTTGAGGCTCAGGGCAAAGGATTGGTGGAGGTTGACCACGGGGTCATATTTGGATGCGCAGAGGGCTACGATTTCATGGGATCAGTTCAGAGAGATGTTCAGTACTCGTTATGTTCCGCAGGTAGAGAGGGAGAGGTTGGCTCGGGAGTTCCTCGAGCTGAAGCAGGTTTCGGAGTCGGTGACGGAAATCACCAGAATGTTCACTGAGAGGGCGATGTTCTGCCCCGAGTTCGCTTCGGAGCAGGCTCAGATGTCCCAATATCTGAGTATGCTAAAGAGAGATATCAGACAGTTTGTGTCCGCACAGAGGTGCAGGACATTGTTGGAGTTGCAGGAGGCCGCCCGGCGGCGTGAGTTAGAGATTGAGTTGCAGTTGCGTGAGCTGAGGCAAGCTCCGGTTCAGTCGGAGCCGGCAACGAAACGGTCTAAGACCGTTGATTCCAGGATGGGGGATCGGAGTAGCCGCACTTGTGGGAAGTGTGGGAGGAGTCACACCGGAATTTGCAGGTCCGGTGGTGCATGCCGCAAGTGCGGAAAGGAGGGACACTATGCGAGGGATTGTCGGCGGTCAGCGCCGGTTCAGAATTTGAGTATTTGCTATCATTGTCGTCAGGTTGGACGTATGAGGGTCAACTGTCCACAGTTTTCCGCAGGACCGGTGCAGGCTCCAGCACCGGCCACTTTGAGGATTTCATGAGAAGGTCAGGGTGGAGCGGAGCCCCCAAGGGCTCAGGGTCGTGCTTATCAGCTTGCGGCAGAGGAGGTCAGAGCAGTGCCGGATGCAGCTGTGGGTATGTTTCTTTCTGGATGTCATGTTATCTTGCGATCATTGTGGTGTATTGTTTGTGCTGGTATCTTTGTGTGGTTTTTGATGCGGTATTCGTCGTTTTGCGGGTTGAGGTTCTGGTTATGGATTTGTGATTCGGGTTTTCGTCTTGGTATCCGTTGTTCCTTGAGGGTTTGGCATGGTTATGGATTTTTTATTCGGGTTTTCGTCTTGGTATCCGTTGTTCCTTGAGGGTTTGGCATGGTTATGGATTTGTGATTCGGGTTTTCGTCTTGGTATCCGTTGTTCCCTGAGGTTTGGGTATGGTTATAGTTTGGTGTTTTGTGCTTCCGTTGGTTATCATTCGTGAGGGTTATTAGTGGAGATGCGACATTGGGTAGAAGGTCGGGTAGCATCGGCTTCCCGAGGAGTGGTTAGATACAGTTTGAGTTTCTTTCGAGCGGGTTAATCAGTGTTGATATGAGATCTCATTGAGGTTGTTTATGCTTGTGGGAAGCAGTCCGCGTGTAAGTGTTCTCTTTGTGCAGGGTTGTTCTGGAAGGTCGGTGATGGCGACCGGTGGTTGTTAATCAGTGCTATAAGTGGGGGAGAGTTAGGGAACTCTCTGGGAGATCGATGAGTATTTTAGAGTGCTTAGCTGTTGGGATTCAGCAGTGTTCTGTCAGCCCAGAGTATAGGCTGATAGGAGCGAGTGTCGGCCATGCGAGGCGGGATACCGACCTAGGGCATTTGATTGTGGAGGCGTGGGAGCAGGCCGGGATCGAGTATGTATGATGGAATTAGAGTTCGGAAACCCCTAGAGGGCTAGAACGGTATGCATGGGAGGATTTCCGGGGGCGATAGCTCGGAATGATGAATGCTTGTTGAGCGGTCCAGAATGGACTGAAGGCCTGGTAAGACGGTCCAGTCATGCTGAAAACTCTGCAGGTATTGTTGGATCAGTTGAGGATATGGATTGGGTATGTCGCAGTGTGTTTGCATTAGAAGGTCTTGATGGGTTTTGGTCA